TTAATTTTAAGTAATTCCTAAGTGTTTTATGATTAGAATTCTATGAATTCTACAACTCCGCAGGTTTTAACATACGTAAATAAATAATATTTCATGCTTGAATTTACTTCCATTAGATATTTTAATTTTTAATCCTAATCAATTACTTTTTTCTTTTTAACTGATATAACTTATTAATTGAAGTCAAGTTAATAGTATATTTTAACTTAATTTTTAATTTAAATGAAAAAAACATACAAAATATTTAACTTAACTGAGTTAAAAGTATCATTAACTTGTCCATTCTTGCCCAAAGGTTAAGTTTGCGTTATGGCGCCATGCATGCACAAAATTTCATTCCTCTTAGTTCATTTTGTTGAGTTGTTAAAATCACACAACTCACCCCCTTTCTGCGACAACATGCAGAATTCATTTTAATATTCAATCCAACTTTTATCATTGCAATCCACCTATAAAACAACTCTCATTTCCGAGTTTGAGCTCATTTAGTCCATAGGATGCCATTTAAAGTTTCCAAAAGTAACGAGGAATGGATAAAATATACCAGACACAATAATGTATTGCACTAATATCGATTTTCAGGTAAAATTAAAGAGAAGGAAACCGGTGAATGGATAATAAGGAAATTAAGAATAGCTGACAAGATACATTAGAGAATTGGGTGTATGATGACGAAACTTTTCCAGTGACCGATCATGTAAGGAATACATGGAGATGGAAAAATTATAAGGGGTTTAAAATAAACGAGTGAATTTATACTTCAAAGATTTGCGATAAACTCAACTATTTTTGAAACAAACTCATTGTTGAGATGATATTATCTACATGATATTACAGAATAATTTATATAATATAGGGGTTATATTATACAGTGATGAGCCTCCACAGACTCGGTGTGCAAAATAGCTGAGTTTAATGAGTTTAATCTTTCCTTTTCCATGGTTGAACAATAAGTTCAAGACTCTGTATTATTTTGTTCAATGCAGTGCTGCAAAACTAACGTTCTCGAGCAAAACTACTGGTCGTTAAAATAATATATATGCGGAAAATCACGACTATTATAAAATTCTGTCATGAATTTTGGATAATGAAGTCAATATAAAACATTTTTTTTTTTTGGTATTGCGCGTTTTTACAATGATTATACGAGTAGTCATACCTGTAGGTTCTGAGGCTGTATTATATTTGTTCCATTTGAATACATTTATTTTAAAAACATATATTATCATCGTAGTAATGAAAATAAAGACAATGCATGTATAAATGCAGTCGGTAAACGATATATTATCATTTGGACAATGCCAGTGCTCTTGTATAGTGGCCTAGTTTTAGATTATGAGTGCAGCGAAGAATATATTGCAGATTTCACTATAATGTACGTTTTTATGTTTCATTTTTTTGCACTTGTAACAATATCTCTATCAGAAATATTACTTCGATATTCTAGTGTATTATCTTTTATGGAAGAAAATCGTATCTATTTAATGTATTAGGGTGGTCATAATATTTAGAAGTTAAGTTAATAATTGGTAAAAAATATTGGAAAAACAAGTAAACGCACGCAATAACTGTTTCAGTTATTTTAGATTTTGTTTTCCGTTGCAATGCAGTAAAAACTATTCATAGAGACCTAAAATTAAAAATAACCTAGTGACTTTTAATCTATTTATGGGCTTTTGAATATTTCGAGATTTTTAGTTTTATTTAGATTTATGCAGATTAAATTATTTTTACTGAGCAAAAATGCTCAAAATTTTTAACACGTTTATAGGTATTTGGTAATAAAAATAGTAGTATTATCAAAAGCAGAATTTAATTAAAATATCATTTTACCGAAATCATTCAATAAAATAATTTAATAGAATTTAACGCGTCTTCCCGGGTTCTTTTTTATTTGATTCGTAGTGTCACCAAGATAACCTAGAAATTATTAAAAAAAAAAATCCGAATTTCGTATCATAATCCTGAAAATTCTGTTTGTGTTAAATTCTGGAAATCCGGTTTCGATGAGTTGCATACAGACCCTTTTATTCGATTCCATATGCGATTTTCAGAACTCTGCGTGCAGTAGATTTGGCTGTGATGGATCGCACTCAGACACGCGAATACTTTTCAGTGTTATTATAGATTAATTTAAAAATGAAAATTACAAATAAAAACACATTCTTAATAATATCATGATAGTGTGTTTTAAAATAACATCCCTAAAATCATCTCACAGTACACGCCACGTCGCTAGCGATGTAAATTTCACACCTTCGAGAACTGTGAAATTAGTATCAGAAAATAGTAATTTTATACTGTTCGTAAATTATTGGTTTCAAACACTGTATACCGATAATTATATAAAAAACATTTGACGCCACAATATAAAATAATAATAAATGGCAAATATTAGGATATAAATTATCCCGTATTGCTTTAATCACCTGTAGCATAGTCGTTGAAGTGTTACTTAAAACTAAAACTAGGAACCTAAAACAAATTTTAATGAGAGTTACAAGCATATTTCCGTACAATTGCATTGCATAAATACAAAATATGCCAAATTATTCTCTTAACAGTTAACATAATATATACAAATATTAATACCTACAAAAAAGTATAAAGGTAGATTTTTATACAAAATATAGTTAAACATATAATGTTATATGAAATGTATGAAAATATGTTTAGATGGCACTTCAATTCGTATTAAATACCATTGCTTACAATCTTAAAACAAAAAATGAACACATTTGTTGTGCGTATATTAAAATAATAAGTATTAATGTGAATTAATTATAATTCTTTAAATAAAAGTGAAATCGTGAAAGAATAATGCAGTGCATATCTATTTATTTTTTAAAATGTTATTATATAGTAATTAGGTACCTACATTCAATTTCAAGAAAAATGAAGTTTTATGTTAGTACCTTTGACTTGTATTGTAATTCATGTTATACTCGTAGTAGGTTTTATTTATTAAAAAACAAAAAAAAAAACAACCACAACGGCAGATTTAATAATAATACCTGAGACTTAATGTTTTACTAAGCACCTAAAGGTGTTAATGGTATACAAAATCAGGCAGTATTTATAGTATGTAATAATATTTTTGACGTATTAATCATGGTATTTTATTTATGTAAGGAAGTAATAATAATCTGCCGTCGGGTACATTTCGGTATAAATGTAGTACGGCAGTATACTTTCGACTTTCTAACGGCGTACGCGATATTGTATAGTTTCGTCCTCCGAGTAGCTGTTAAATATACATGAATTCAGCTCTGCAAAATAGCAGGTAGTATTTCAGATGGCTAATTTACATGAATTGTGTTCAGAATAATTTTCAATTAAAAATTAGGAATTCCTTTACAAACTCATCGTAAATTATAGTTGAAATGCGTTAATTGTATAATATACTAGTAGTTGCGTCTTTAGGAATATATATACAGTGTGTCCCACCATGTTCGACGGATTTTTTTAGAGCTGTTAATATTAAACGTTTTTAATTTTAAAAAATAACGTTTTATTTATTCACTTTACAAAAATTTCAAAATAGCCGTTTTGTAAAAGTTATTATTCTAGAGATTTTAATGTATCACACATTCAAATCCGATGAATAGTTTCTTAATAATAGCCGTTTTAATTTCTAGAAAAGATTAGGTTAGGTTAGGTTAGGTTAAGTGTGAAAATAATTAGTATTCAATAAACTACTGTTGCGATAAGGGATTATCGTGCAGTCGTGTAGCGATTGTGATTATTATTCAATATTAACTATTTTCACACTCTTTTTCTAGAAATTAAAACGGCTGTCGATGTCCCTCTCAAAGACAAACCAATTGAAAAAAAAATTGGAAAATATTATTAGCAACAGCTCTAGTCAGTGTTAGGACACACTGTGTATATTACAGTCATGTGATAATAAAATTAAATATGTAATTCAGACATTTTGAGTAATTATATTTTATCCAAGTGAAAACAATATTATTAAAAATAACTTAGACTTTTTTTTTTTTTTTTGTGGGAGAATGGCACATTTTAAAGCTCATATATACAAATAGGAAAATGTCAAAAAATATATTTATTATTTTCGAACATTATAGACCTTCTAAGCCCTTTGCGGACAATACCGATTTGTCCTCTCTTTCCTATACACGCGTGACTTAAGTACTCACACCGATCTAGTCTCAGTTCTACTATGTTTCTTTTGAATTCATCTAACCACCGTTGTTTCAGTCTGCCATGCGCGGTCTTTTCCCATAGGTTGTTCACAAGTAGTGTTTTGATTACACCATTGTCGGCTCTCCAGAAGTGACCTGTCTACTCCAGACTTGGGCGTTTTATAAATAATTGAACTATACTTCCTTTTCCATACAATTGTTTCAACTGTTCATTTCACTGTCTCTCCTCTACTCGAATGACAGGGTTATCAATTTTCCTTTGCACCTTTCTCTTAAGTATATTTACTCTATTCTCATCTCCTTCTGTTGTTGTGTATGACACAACTGATATACGTAGTACATAGCTTCTCAAGCAGATATAACATGCCAAAATATCATCGATCGCCAAAAAAATGTTTTATATTTATTTAATCACTCTGAAATAAAATAACCGGACCTAAATGTGTATGTTATATTTTGTTGCAGAACGAGTTTTCTGATCAATAGACCTAATCTAATATACACCCGATTTCTTTGGCATCTGCACCGGACACCGAATTCATATACGGATAGCTCGATCCTTTACGACAGCTGTTCGGTTTTTGAAGTTTGTCTATCGGCCCCATAGCCGGTTGTGAATACGGTGACCACGTGGACGCAGAGGAAGAGACGGAGGAGGCGGTGGCCGCGTCCACACGCATGGCGGCCGGCGGTCGTCGCGTCGTGAACGACATTGCAGTGGCCGGTGACACGTAATCGCGTCCCCGCGCGCGAAGCGTCAACGCCCGTACCCCGGGCCGGCATGGTTGATCCGACCGCTCCGGGTGCAGCAGTTGAACCACGACCTCGGTCATCATGGAACACGGGCATGGCCCGTACAGCAACCACACACCCACGTCCGTCGTTACACTCGATCCCAGGGACTCGCTGTATCGTTTGAGCACTGCCATGGACAACGGTACAGATCCTACGGTCCAACAGGTGCGTAACAACACTGTTGTGCCTACTGCGATTAACTATAGTCTAGATAAAAATAGATTAGGTTAGGTCCGTCTAGATTTCAAACGAAGATTTCGAGTACATTTTTCTTTTTTCTTTTATCGAACATTAAATAAATTGGTGGGATTCATATTTTAAGGAGAAATGTCACTTACGTTGTACATTCGAATTTGGAGTATTTTCGTGTTCAGTGTGCATTCGAGTTAGGCGTCAAATCGAAAACGCCATTAGCGAGTGATAATAAAATAAACGCGAGCATTCTGTATATAAAAAAAAAAAAAAACATTAAATTTCCTCTTCCGGCTATTTATTACATAATATAATACTCATACTGTAAATAAATATCGTGCATCTTTTTCATTTTATTTTTTTTTTTTTACTTTTCAAATGTTCTTTCGAAATACAACGATACCGTCATATGCGTTTTGTGAGTTTTTCTTTTGTATTACACTTGGATCCTTAAGTAGGACTGCAGTATTTATATAATTTTATATAAAAATTAATTATAATAATATTATCTTTGTCAACTAAACGAATTATATTAAATGTGAGTTTCATTAACTGTATTATTACGGTAAACACACGATTGAAACAATACAAATTATATTGCATTTGGTGTGTTAACAGATATAAAAAAAAAAAATTACAGCGGAAGGGGATGTTATATATTATATTTTTCGGTATTATCAAGGTGGGCAATGGATGTTTATTTTGTTTTATCCCTCCCGCCTACGATGTATATTATAAATTATAATAGATGGAAGGGAAAAGACTCAATAACCTGCAATAATAATTAAACCGGGGTAACACCCTATGCAATCCAATTGAAATCAAGTTAACATTTTTCCTGTAAAAATAACATCTCTAAATAATGTTATCTTATCTTAAATAAAGTTTTAACCTAAAATTTAAATTTATGTTGGTTTTTCAATATTAATCGTATAAATATTTAATTATTATTTCTAAAATTTTTTTTAAAGAGATATTTTTATAAGAGACACCCGTATTTTATCTAAGAGATATTTTCACAGGAAATATTGTTTAACGCACATATAGGTATTTTGATTGGTCACCATGAAATCCGCTCTCAAAGCTAATCGTCTGTATATTGAAATCTCAACATAATAATATAAAGGTACGAACTTCATATACATTTTTTATTTTTTTTTTTTGACATTTCAATATTTCGACGTAAGAACGTATTTAATCAATATAATAATACATGAATAAATCTATAATACGACTGTATGTGATCTACCGACTTGGTCAGTATAACTGTATAATAACTTCGAATTTATTATAATCGTAGTTTATAGTGTTATTACAGTTAACATCTTTTACTTCACCGTACGTTTTTGACGAAGAACGATGATGCGTTCAGTATTAAAATGACTGACTCATTGAACTTACAACAAAATCGTAAATATTTAATAAACTTGCGCACTTTCCAAAAAACGAATTTGTCTGGGTACGTCTCTGAAAATGTATTATTCAACAACTGTGGCGCTGGTGGCGTTATATAACTGAGTCGCGGTAAATTTTAAATGATTTCCTATTATATCACGGAGTTCCGTATACACAAATCCCGGTGAAATATTCCGAGAAAGAAAGACTATACGAATATAATACAACGTCCGGCACCTACCGCACAGTAAACGGAAACACAAAATAATAACTCATCAAAAGTATAATTTCACCGCATTTGTATTACTTTATACCTTTTCTAATTATTAATATTATTATTGTACACGCCGTGGTACAAAAGTTCTACGATAAAATATTTTTCTTCGACTTCTTTAAACCAAGTTACGCTATCTTTCTGATTTTTTATCAACTAGGTATTATTCTGTCCACGGTCCTGTAGATTTCATTTTATTTCCATTTTATGTCGGAGATAACGTACTGAAATGACACGCTGTAATAAAGCCCTCAACATTTCCATTGGTTTTATCCGACGAATATGCTAAGAATCCAAATTACATTCCTCACTAATATTTTTGTTCATTAGTTCATTCAATGATTGAATACTAAGTTCTGTTATTTGGGCTCCACGTCTATTCAGAGTAGTGACATAGCACATTAAAAATGGATTTTATTAATTCAAATTCCAGATTATTTAAAAAAATCTAAAATCCAACATCCAAATGTATTTATGATTAATAAATTAAGTAATATGGTATCTCCATATTATAGGTAGTATTAATAAATGATACAGATTCAAATTTTTTAATATAACTAGTTAGTAGAGAATAAAATAATAGATAACATGAGTTGAATATAAATTAATAATAGATAATTAACTATCATTTATACATTTTATTACAACAAAAATTAGTTTTATGAAATAGTCAACAAACTAAGTAACAAATAAGGAGTATTTAAAAAAAAATGAATAATAGCTACCAGAAAAAAAAATATAAACTAATTCAAATTATCAAAGTAATTTACATTATAGATTTAATATTTATTAAACACAAACATTTTACCTGGAATAATCATAGATCAATGTATAAACAGTACCACCACAGAAGGTATAAAGTTTTCCCAATCATGGCTGACAGTTCGTTGATCTACACTGTACGTATTTACATTTTTGGTTTTCTGGGGCACTGTGATTTAGAATCTTTTCACAACGATAATTTTGGTGATAAGCAAGAAAATCAAAAAAAAAAAATCATATCTAAATCGTATATAAAATCGGAATACCCGTGAAAATTGTTCCCATTACTCTATTTAAAATCACTAAAATATTTGACTTTTTTTCATCAAAATATTATTATCATTACAGGTGACCGGTGACGTCATGATGGACTGGTCCGATTACGTTTCAGTGGCGCTGAAAACTTCGGTGATGGCCATTATTATACTGACCTCGATCGGCGGCAACCTGCTGGTAATCGTATCGGTAGCCCGGCATCCCCGGCTCCGGGTCATCACCAACTACTTCGTTGTATCGCTGGCATTCGCCGACATGCTAGTGGCAATCGTAGCGATGACGTTCAACGCCAGCAAACAGATCAGTGGCAAATGGATGTTTGGCTACTTCATGTGCGATGTCTGGAACTCGAGTGACGTTTACTTCTCCACCGCGTCCATATTGCACTTGTGCTGCATAAGCGTTGACCGGTACTACGCCATCGTCAAGCCGCTCAAGTACCCAGTGCTGGTCACCAAGCGGCTGGTGGCATTTCTGCTACTAGTCACCTGGGTGGCGCCGGGCATCATAGCGTTCGTGCCCATATTCTACGGATGGTACACAACCGACGAGTACCTGACCTTCCGGATGGAACATCCGGACGACTGTGACTGGGTGGTGAGTAAAAAGAAAAAAACAAAATACTTTTTTTTCTGACCTGTCATCAAAATGTTCTCTTTCTCCCTCGCATTTTTCGGATATTTTGTTTTCAAGACGTTTCTTATTACAATTAATTTCAATTTCAAATTTTTAAAATACAACGTGAATTATTCGTCTAATTATCCTGATATATCGCAACACCCCATATAATATCGTCTAACCGTTAAATAATTAGGTTGGCGCAATGCAAGATTTAAAATATACAGGTTTCACAACGAGCTATGTTACTTCTCACTGTGTTTAGTGAACTGTCCTCTTAATACAGTGATGATATCATGCAATTTTCTACCAGAAATATTATTCCGATTTACAAACGTAGCACTTTTTTCGAATGGAAATCTGACTGAAGAGATATTTTAAGGAAGTCATCTTTTGATTTTCTAAGAAGTTTTCCCAATATATGGGAAAAACATAATAAAACCGGAAGAACGAGAAAATAGATACGATGTCAAACAAATATTATTATAGAAAACGTTTAATGTAAATGCAATTATTTTACCATAATATAACATATATCAACACTATCAATTAGACTCCGCTCAGAATATTTGTTTTCTTTAGCAATGGTTAATCGTTTCTTACAGATATACATTAAATTCTAGTCTATATCCTACCTTCTCAACTTTCCACCTACAACAGTGGCTGCACCCATCCTCCTTATTCTAGGACAGTTTTTTTTTTTAATAACATGAACAAATAAAATAAAATAACAGGAAAGGAAATCTTTTAAGAGTTCTAATACTAAATAATATGTAAAGTTACTCTTGGCGTCAATTATTTTGATTCCAGACACACCACAGTTTTCCTTAAACAATCTGAAGAATATTTAAACGATCTTTGTATTTTTGTCCAATCAGAATCAATCAATGTTTTATTATTAGGATTATCTAAATAAGCTTTAGAAATTATGAAAGCAAATGATTCGTACGCACAAATATCACTTACAAGGTACTTTTGGTTTCTATCAACTATAACTGAGGAATCATTACTATTCTTTAACACAGAATTCAAAATTTCATTACGTCTTAAAATGAAAATATAAGTTTTCTGTCAAAATTTCAAGGCACTGCGAATATTTTTAATTGAATTACAACAAAAAAAAAACAAAATTGAAAATAATTAAATTATTATTTTCGTACATTTTCCGTTTTTCCGTACGTTTTTTTTGATTTATAAGTTTTTAAATAATTTATACATTTGAGGATTGAATTTACAATTATTAACAATGAATAAACAATTGTTTACAATTTGTCTGGAGTCTCGGTCAAAAAGATCGAGCTACGTGAATTCGGCCCTTTCAACTTATTTTTGACTTAACGGCTGAGCGGGGCATTTACAAATTCAGGGGTTGAATTTACAATTATTTACAATGGATCTACAATTTTTTTTTAAATTTGTCCGGAAGCAATCGGCCAAAGTAGGGTCCAACTTTACGTACGTTAAATTCTTTATAATACTTTATTGTTTTACGTGTATTATTACAGAGCAATGATTACACAATAATAAAACAATTTAATATTTGCCTTATCTAACTCACCTATCCAATTATTCAGATGGAACCGTAGTTCCTCAAAAAAATTGTTATCACTCCACTGCAATTTGATTAGCACAATAGTACACGAATTTATTTAAAATAGTGTTATTTCTCTGGCAATTATTATAGGTTCGCATTATTAAAATTTGAAACCATAATTATTAGTGACAAATACTATATTGAATTTTAAGCTCATCACTATTAAATACAGTTTTACGTTATTATTAGCGTTATCAACTGTGGCTAAAATGTTTGATGAGTATTTATTATTAAAGTATAAAAATAATTGGGAATTTAGCGAAACACTTTGTAGGCCACTATGCTCAGAGGTCGTTATCCAAACTGTGTAGTCTTAAATAATGGTAAAATGCTAAAACAATTTAGATAGGAAACGGTGTTCGCAGTTTTTCACATTATCAACAAAAAAAAAAAAAAATAATAGTAAAACATCGTTTAAATATAGTACCAAATATTATTTTATAATTTTTTTTTTTACTTAAATTTTAAATTTCCAAACAGAACTATTATATACTAATAAACGTGGCTTTTAATATCAACGAAAACCGTAAAAAAAAAACAGGTTTGATGTAGTGCTCGGAACTATACTTCTAGACAGTCTTATTATTGATAAAATACCGAAAACAAAATTAGACAAAACAAAAGAATCACGTAACTATACCTTCTCGCCATTATGAAACTACTAGAATATTATAAATGTGCTAGGCAAACAATGTCCCGTGAAACGGCTTTGTGTCTTTTTGAATTGTACGCAAATTCGGTCCGCTCGGGTCTTTTGTTTAAGTATTTTGAATACATGGTTTTATGTAAAAAAAAAAAAAAAATTAAAACTACTAATTGCTTAAGTGAAACATACAAATTTTAAATTTCCATCATTATCGTTAGTGCATTTGTAACTCGTATTACGGTAATTTGTTTCGTCCTAACAGGTAACAATTTATTAAAACTACGACAAATCGATTAGGTATTTGTAAAAAAAAAAAAAAAATTATTTTTTGATAAGTTATTATACACATGCATTCATACGCACACAACTACAATTAATAATAAAAAGACGGGCATACTTCACATTTGAGTGCAGTCACTGTTGTAGGTTGGAAGTTGGGAAGAAAGGATACAGACGGGAATTTAATGTATATCTGTAAGCAACAATTAATCATTGCAACGAAAAAACGATTCTGAGCGGAGTTCAGTTAATTGTGTTGCTTTGTCAACAATATAAATGTCATATTATGGTATTATAATAACATATTTATTAAACATTTTCTTTAATAATATTTGTTTAATATTGTACTCATATTCCCGTTCTCCTGTTTTTCCTCCGTTTTTCCCCGGGTTTTCCAATATATTGAAAAAACCCCTAAGAAAATCCAAAATGACCTCCCTAAAGTACCACCCCAATTAAATTTCGTTTCAAAAAGTGTTACGCTTGTAAATCAGAGCAATTTTTCAGTTAGAAAAAAATTCACAAATAAAATAAAAAAAATTAATTAAATATCATTCTAAAACCATAAGCTTGTTTGCTCCACTAGAATCTAAAATACACCTATACATTTTTTTTTAAGTTTCGGTTTTGTTTTTCAATAGAAATATAATTCATTTAATAATAAATTATAGTTTGTTTTTAGAAAAAGAGAATATAAAAAAAAAAAATACAAATTAACTTAATTTACCAGTAGTAAATACGCGCGACAATGAGAAAGTGTCAATAATATTGGATTGAATTATACTATTATTTAGAGAAATACAAATTAATTTACATTGATTTGGATACGCGATTATAAATTGCTTATAATTAATGAATTGATAAATTGATTATAATCTACTTTATATTCATCGTGTTTATCATTTTGTCTACATTGACATTTCGTTTCGACGCGAATTTCATAATCCTTTAAAAAAAAAGATTTAATGTAATTATTTTTTCATATAAATATTAAGGATATGCTAAATTGTATCCAACACGTAGGACGCAGGAAGTAAGAAACATTATAACGAAGCGCTTCCTACTATACGATAAAACATGATAATAATTTATACGCGGATTAGTTCTCCAGTTTGTTGGCCGCGTGTTAAACGAATAAACTAATTAAAATTAATAATAACACAATGCCGTTATTAGGATTTATTGCACGCATAGCATAATAAAATCAGAGGCGAAACGGCCCTCGCTAGGCTATACAAGAGTGGTTAAAGTGGGAAGAACATCAAAAGGAGACAATAGTTATCAAAAATTATTACTTACTAAAGAACTAACTAAACCAAAAAAAAAATCAATATTTTCTTTTCTGCATTATTCTGATTATGTATAATCCAATAGTTTAAAAAAAATAAAAATAAAACTAATAACTATTGAAGAATTTATTTTTAATATAACTTATTCGAGTTATTATAAATGTTATTAAAAAAACTTCATACAACTAAAGCGTCCTCCTGACTTTAAAGACTTAAACGAGGGATGCATAATTATGACCTCCGATGCAACGTTATTTTTAAAAATATTTTTCGAATAAAATCTATAGTTTTACATAATATTTGGCTCGTTTTTTAATCACCTATTTTGTAAGCCTATTTTTTTTTCTTTATTCGTATCTTCCCGTTTGTACTAACTATATACTAAACTAACTGTCCCTCTCCAAGTAGCTCCCAATCAATTTAATTACGCCCCCCATTTTTTCAACCGTTTAAAAATTAGAATGTTTATAAATTATTTTCCAGTATTGTGCGTTTGAAAGTAAAAAAATATGAACAGAATTACTTATATATTTATATACTTAACAAATTACCAGCGCCCTCTTAATTGAGCTTCAAATCAGCCACTGGTGCCAGCCATTCTTTAGCTGTAGAATTTCGAGATTCATACGCTTCTATATATACATTTTCAGGACTCTACGTGCGATAGATCCGATTGTAGATTGCACACAGACGAACATTTTTATTAAAATGATTTTGATGTCGACCGAACATATTTTTTCGAAATACTTTTTACTGTGTTGTACTAAGTTTACTTTAAGGTAAACTGCATATGATACACGCATATATAGCATCTATCATACGCAAATCACATTTGCAACCTGGCTACATTTAGAATTTTTCTCAGTTTTATACAAACATTTTTTAAATATATGTGAAATTTAACAAAAAAAAATGGAGTGAACACGCTTAGTGAATCACCCTGCGTGTGCAAACTCTTGAATTATACTATTCTTATAAATAAATATTTGATTTCAAATCGGTGTAATTACGAAACTGTTCAATCTTTTTTCTTTAGAGCATGATCTGAGGCACGATTAAATACTCATTAAATCTGAAAACCCGTTGTACAACTAATTATGGATGTACACAGTAACAATGATTTATGAAGATGATTAGAGGTGATGTAACGAATCTCCATCAAGTGCGATATAATCTATCTAGTATCTGTGCTAAATAAATAATCAAATCTAGATTTAGAATTCAAATTTAATTAGTAAGAAATACAACACTATATACCCAAGATGTCAGGACCAGAGGTGACATTATTCCTATTGGTGAAATGGGTGCCCTTTAAATTGTATTATTGTCTCCCTGATATCTGTGTACTGATCGGTTTCTATTATTTTGCTCGTTGGTCTGTAGGTGAATAAAATGTACGCAATCGTGTCTTCGTCCATATCGTTTTGGATACCGTGCACAATCATGTTGTTCACGTACCACGCGATATTTAAAGAGGCAAACCGGCAGGAGAAGCAGATCCATGCGAGGATCAGTTGCGGCCACCAGATCAACTATAACCGGGAGATGGCCGAGAACCAGCTGCGGTCTAATGGTTCGGCAAACGGCGGAACGTCGTCAAGAACCACACTGGCTCCAAACGACCACCACTCGACCCCGTCCCGGGACAACAGGAACATCATCAAGATGAAACGAGAACACAAGGCGGCCAGGACGCTGGGAATCATCATGGGCACGTTCATCGTCTGTTGGCTGCCATTTTTCCTCTGGTGAGTACCTACAGGCATATTATAACGGCTGTAATATCTGACGATAATATTTTCTGTCTGCGTATTTTTCGGTAACTGGGCAGGTATGTCCGAAATGAAAATAAAATACCGAATTTATCGCGCGGGTTGCATTCGGTTCTCGCTGCGCGTAAGTCGAATCGGATAATTTAGTTTTATGTCGACTTCCGACAGCGAAAATCGCTTTCCTCTCCAATTATCGTGCAGAATCCACTATATAGGTATGCTATATAATAATATCGACCGTAATCATTTACAATACACCTATAGGTACGTCGTAATATTACTGGCGAGTATAAATTCTACGTTATTGGTGTTATACCGAATCATCCCGTTCATGTGTATAGACGAAAATTACACGAAAATTCCCTCCCTCGTTTTCCGATCTTCTATATTATCACCGGAAACGATGAATTTTGTTGTTTATCTCGGGCGACGGTTTGAAAAGACAATCAAAAAAGACGTGTTGACCGAATAAACGGCAAATCGCAATTAAAAACGAACGTCAATTATTATATTATAATTATTATTATTATTGTTCCGTCGAATAATATTCGAATTTATTGTCTCGAGTATTTTAAAAACACTTTTTTTTTTTTTTAAATTTGATTTCGTTAATTTGTGTTTTGATTCTATATAATTTCTGTTTGCCCAAGCAAATCGACAATTTTCGAGTTTTTTTTCGCGATGTATATTTTAGTCGCAACACAAATATAATTAAGGATTCATTAACGAGATTTTCATCCCGCCCAATCCCCGGTTCAACTGACGTTTTCGCAAAGTCGCTGCAAACATTACAACGAATAATTAATGTAAATTTATTTTATTTTATTTTTTATCATTCTGAACTGGACGAAAAAGAAGCCATGATATATTATTTTTATATTTTAGATTCTGCATAGGCATAACTAGAAATGTTATCATCTCTGTAAATTTTCCTAGTAATTTTCATGCATTTATTATCAGTATGTTTTTTACAGTTCTTAAAAATGAGAAACCCTTTCATTTCAAACAGTTTCGTAGATCTAAAAATATTTGTTTAGGTACGATTTAGTCTATATAATACTGTAATAGATAAATTTCTTGAAAATTGAATTTCTGTGGTCGTAATTTTTTTAACAAAAAAGATTTAAATTATATTACATTTTTAATCAAATCTAAAACTTTCTTATTCTGTGAACAATATTACATAGTTTTCATTTTCTTAAAGATTAGAATTTATCAAGTTCGATTTAAAAAAAAAAAATAATAATAATAACAGGTAATTATACTCAAAGTTCATTTCCATTTATTTTTATTTCATATTTTTTTCATAATATATACTCGTATTAATATATTTATCACATGTTTATTTTATTTTTAATAAAAAAATCAACCGAAATGTACATACATTTTACGGATAAATACGATATCTTTAAAATATATAACAAAGTAGCTATTCGTTTTTTTCTCAGAATACTCCTTTACGGTTAGTAAAAAAATGCTCGAATTTTTTCATGTTATACGAATTTTTCTACTAGTGATACTTTAATTGGACATTATTTTGGAAATTCCTAATTCCAAAAATTAAATTTTTTTGGTTAAATACAAATGATCCAACTATTTTATGCAATACCTTCAAAGATGCAAATTTTCTATCCGCTCGTATCTTGTTTAAATATTTGTCGACATTTACAGTAGTTCACTAACTAGGTCTTTTTTTGTCGATATCTGCGTTATTTTTTTAGCAACAAGACAAGAAATACATCTATATTGATCCTTTTCTTTTTCACCCACCTATTACAGTATTTTAACTCAATTTTTACAATACAACCCTCCTAGTACCTTTGAACTACCACCAACACCTAAGTTGTGTGTAGCAATTGCTACGCCTTAGCCATATACTATAGACTTATAGTAACAGTATTTTTGCTATATATTATGTATTATGTATTATATTTAGCTGATACGAATGTAATTAAAAAAAAAAACGATATGGTGATATTTACCGACAGGCCAAGTATATAAGTTCGAAAATTTCAAATCGACGGGTCTTAACGATTTACTCTAACACCTGTATATACTGTTTTTTATGTTTAATATTATTATGATTTATTACAGCGCATCATCTTTTTCTTATATTAGATTGACAGTGTAGCGAGAAATAAATAATATATCACAATTTTATTATGACGTGTTTTTATGTTTGATTATTTTAAGTAAGAATATACAATTTGTCTGGTATCTCAACTATGCTCCAAAATTTTATACAAGGATCATTATATAGGTAATGTGTATTTATGGTACTATACAAATTTCGAAAAATCGTAGTCACAATTTTCCCCCAAAAATATTACATTAAAAAAAAATGTTGATTTTTAACAAATTAATTCCCAGCATATGTTTTATTAAATTTCAAAATTGACAACGAATTTCGATATATTAGTTTTAGTTTTGTCATTCTATATCCCACACAAACATACATTTCAAACTTTCAATATATTTTAGAAGCCAACCCTTTGTTTCGAATATACGTCTGACTTTTTTATTTTAGAAATGATAATAATATGAAAGTATGTCTATACAATTTACACTAGACGGTATATATAAATAAAAATAAACATGGAAGCCATAAACGGTGAGACGATAAAATAATATGTCTGTTTCCTTTACGTTATGAAAAGCATCGAATGCTTTAACGTACATTTTTTGACATGATTTGATGTGAGATGAACGGAAAACAACAAGAAACAATCAGTTAGCGAAGTTGTCAGAGTGTTAGTTATTAATATTTAAAAAACCGCAACAGCTACACATTTAAAAAAAAAGAATAGTTTGAAATGAGACAAATATTGTAAAAAGATTTTAAAAAAACTATCCAATGGACTTTATATTTACCAATTTCATTTCTATTCGATAAAGAAATCCATCTATCGAAATCGAGAACGGTCATTTTTGATTACTATGGACAAACAAAATATGTAATAGGTAGTCTTTGACGCTATCACCTCGGGGAAAACAACACCACATGATGTGATGTGTCCAAAATATAATTTATCTGGGTTATATTATGAAAAATACGTGAGTTTTTCGATACCTAATCAAGATTTATTATTTATTAAAAAAAAAAAAGTTTAATACCCAGATAATCAAATCTCGTTGGTACGAAAACTTTAACTTCAATATTTTGACTCGAAGCTATATTTTGTTATTCGTTAGCAAATACTAACAATACCTAAAATATGATTACATTATTTGTATTTTTAAATCCAAAAAAAGGTCAACGTATTCTATCTGACTGTAATATTAAATTATACTCAACTTAGACGCTAAACAAATTTTGTTGACTTTTAGATTCTGAGTGTAGCGAAGGGATGCATTGCTTTTACTAAGATGTTTATTTTTTTTTTTGTTTTATACTGTGTACAAAAATTATTCTATCAAAACTCTTACTCAGATATAAACGCGTGGCACTATTTTTAAAAGAAATTGTTTTCCAGATGGTACTTTTGGGAGATAATTTTTTGATTTTCCATGTGGTTTTCATAATGTCTAAGAAAAAGCAGGATAAAACGTAAGAAAAATGGGAAATTTACGAAAATAATGCTTTTATTATTTATCAATTTTGTTATTTAATTTAATTTAGTGAAAAATATTCGTAGAGAATTAATATTTGAACAAAAAACTTCTATTTACCTTTTCTATACGTGGTAAATTTTCAAAAAATTTAAGTTATTTTTGAGGTATTGAGAGTCATTTTATATTTACAAATTTGTAAATATTTACAAATTATTTTATTATATTATTATATAATTATTATTTTATATTTTTGTTATTTGTTGAAATTTGGTTAAACATATTCTTATCGACTCTATGGACTTAAAATTTATATTTACTTTTTCTAAACGTAGTAAAACTTTCAAAAATTTAAGCCATTTTTGAGATATTTATAGACATTTTAATTTCGATAGTTTTGTACTTAATATTTATTCGGAAAGTACTTTGTAGTAAAATTGCTAGACTTAATAGAAATGCTTTAAAATTTAACAGGGGGTTTATTAAGAGTTTTACTTTGTAGTAAAACAAAAAAAATTGAATTTATTGTAGTATTTTTTTTTTATAAGGGAGTTTTAATATAAAATTTTGACGAAAATCGTTTGAGTAAAAACCTTAATTTTAAATTTTTTTTAATAAAATAATTTAAATAACTTTATATTGACACTCTTAAGGTATAATTATCGAGATATCATGGTTATTTATGCCTATTATCATTCTAGATGTTCCAAGTTCAAGCCACATGCTGTATCGGGAAAAAAAGTTTTGCATTTTATTTCCCCTTTTACCTAAACAAGGAAAAAACAAATGCATTTTAGATGTACCTAGAGACCCAAGCCATTACTTCCTCGGACTTTATTCGCATTATCCCCCTCGATTTATCGTGCAAACATTTCGATCAGAAATCTTGTTCCAAATACTATGTATCAAGTGTAGTTTATTTTCTAAAAGGAAATATTATCTCCACGGAAATTTAGAGAAATCGTTTTTTTTCATTTTTCAAGCAGTTTTCATGATAAATGGTAAAGTCCGAAATAAAATTTCGGCAAAACGGAAAATGTACGAAATATATTAGTAAAAAAACATTAAAGCCTTTTTTATCTGTTGCACAACTTTTCTACCAGCAATTTCTCTCCGATTTAAAACGATAGCACTTTTTTTGAAAGGAAATCTGACTGAGAAAGTACTTTAGGGGGGTAGTTTTTTGATTTTCCAGCAAATGTGAAAAACATAGGGAAACCGGAAAATGAGAGAAAATCGGTAGTATGTTAAACAAATATTATTAAAGAAAATAAATAATGCTTATTTAATTATTTTACCATGATACAATAAATATATATTGTTAACTAAGCATCACTACCTACTGAACTGCGCTCAGAATTGTTTTTTCGTTTGCAATGGTTTATCGTTGTTTTTACATATACATTAAATTATCTATTACAGTAGCTGCACCCGTCTCCATTATCCTAGGACGTCTTTTTATTAATGTGTTACGTAATAATATTGTAATATTTTCGAATAAAAACTAAGCACTTTCATGTCAAAGCTTCAAATTGTTAAGTAAAATCTAAAAGTTGAGTTGAATTTCAATGTGATTTTCATCGTTTTATTTTAAGGGGAGTGTTATTTCTAGCTTTAAACATCCTTACAAAACCTAAAATGAAGCTAGGGGACAAAATTGTGTGTATATTAATTGTGAGTATCGATATATTTATAGGTAGTATATTATTCAGTTTATTTTATTGTTTTATGACGAATATTTTTCTATAACATAAAAAAGGCTAAATAAATTTGATTCTAGTGACAATTCTATAATTTTTTATTTCTTCTACATAGAATAATTCACAATAACACATTCCCTTAAGGACTGAAATAATATTATTATGTAAATATAAATATTTTTATATTCGTTAAAAACGAAATCACGTGCTTAGCATAGATTAAGTACTTGAAAAACTATTGATTTTTTATTCATTACAACCGTGTCATTTAGAACGTCATGAAAACTGCAAAAATATTTAGTTGAGTACTTACTTCAAAACGAACGAGTTATAAATAATTTATTAAAATTACTGCCTAACTCGTAAATAATGCTAACGAAAATTGTATTATAATATTATTATCTCATATTGTCCACTTGTCTAGTACTACAGTTCGTTTACTACCTGTAATACTTCTTTTATCAACATATTTTTGTTTATTACTATTTTATGCTAAACTTTAAAGTATGTTCTAGTATTGTTTATACAAATTCTTCTCGGTATAAATACTCGCAATAAGGAACGTTTAAACGGGTGTAAAATTAATTTACATTTTTTTGTTTGTTTTTTTTTCTTTACTTCTAATTTCAAAAATATTGTATTTTACATAACCGTGTTATTGTTTATAATTTTTAGTACATTTTTTTTTTCAAAAATTTCAATTCGAGCATAATAATTATGGCGATTTATGTTTTGTAATTTTACTACCTAGGTAAACAACAATTTATTTTATTGCATATGTATTTCCTTTTTCAATACATTTCTATTTATAAATAGTAATTATTCATTTAAATGTTCGTATGACGACAAGAGGTATAAGCAAATAATGATAATGTCGACAATATAGTGGTTCAAGGAAAAATATATTTGAAAAAGTATATCAATTTAGATACCGCGGGTTACAATATCTGAAAAGTTATCATTTTGTTTAATACATATTTAGACAACTTTTGGTTGGTTGAAACTTTTATTTAGGTATAGTGTTTTATTTTCTAAATTCTTTTGAAGATTTTGCATCTGTGATTATAATTATTGTGGTTTAAAATCTATTATAATATTTGATCAGTAGTCAGAGCACATCAAATCAGAATAAGACTTCTTGTTTTCCATGAATTAATATCAAACAATAGTGTTATCATGTTGTCCATATTTAGCCTGCACGACCGGTCATACTCTTAACTCACCACGTGTATAGGTAAGTATACTACTACTTCCTAATTTTACATCCACTAACCTATAAACAATAATAATATAGTGAAAGTAGCACATTTTCTGAAAGGACATTTTCTCTTCTTGTTACAATGATAAGGTCATTTTTTAATTTTCAAAGGGGTTTCATAATAATGGGGAAAATCCAAAAGGAAATTATAACTGGTGAAATAGCGTTACCGATTTCATTGTTTTTAATTTTTGCAAACTATATTTTCTACCAGAAATATTGGTTGCTACAATCGAAAAATAACAATATATCGATTTTGTTCTTTTTAATATTTAGCCACTGAAAAAGAAAGTCATTTTTTTATATTCAAAGTAGTTTTCATATTAATTGAGATAACCCCTTCAAAAAAACGAAAAATACGGTTTTTTCAACTTATGGAACAACGATTTCACTGTTTAAAATTTGTTCGGCTATATTTGTCTACCGGATATCTTTATCCATGTTTAAAAAAAAAAATATTTTCTAAAATAAAAATATTGTCTTGTTTCTGAATAAGAGAATTTTTAATTAATTTTCCGTATAGATTTCCTAATAATTACGAAACACTGGGAATGAACGTAGGAAATATGGAAAAGTGTACGGCATTTAGTTATTTTGTTGTTATTCGGTTAAAAATTATTGTAGAAATTTGTAATATTTACAAAACATTTATATTGACCTTTTATAGACGTGGTCAAATTTTCAAAACATTTTATCTATTTTTAGGCTATATAATTATTTGATACATTAATGTTTTAATTTGTATTTTTATTTGGTAAATATCTGTTATTAAAATTATACTACTTAAAATAAATGCTTGAAAATTTAACAGAAGATACATTATAAGTTTTACTATTAGAGGTCGAAAAAACAAATTTGAGTTTAACATTTTTTTTTTTTTATAAAAATTTTTATACCAAATTTTGTCAAAATCATACAAATTTTAGGATTACAAAATATATTTTACTGAATTTCGCTCCGAATTATTTTTAATTATAAATGGTTTATCGTTGCGTACAGATATAAATTAAATAACTTAGTGTATCCTAATTTTTCAATTTTCTATTTCCCACTTACAACAGTGGTTGCATCCGTCCCCAGTATCAGGTCTTTTGTTATTTTTGCATTCAATAATACGGCAACACGCAGATACGTTTGAAAACCTCTAGGATACATAGTTATTATTATTATTATTTTTTTTTTTTTATTTAATAAAAGATAATGTACGTAAAAACAATTTTTTCCTGAAAACAAACTGCTGCATGTAGTATGCACCCATATAACATTCAATAAAATACAAGTACATTACACTTTATTAAATATGTGCATTTTTGATGTTATTTTATTTACATTGTAAGTATACCTATGTATGATATATTATTATTGTAAAATTGTAACTCCCGGCGGATTACATATTTTTATGTCTGATAGGGTTTTTTTTTTATAAGATTCATAAGATGTATAAGTAATTTAGCTGCGTATTTTTACGAACCGTATAATATTTGTGTATTATTTTACGACGACGTATATTTTAGATTTCGAGCCCAATGAGGAATAAAATGGTTTTACTGTCTGTAATACAGGTATATGTTGTTTTTCCACTTTTTGTCTGAGAACTAATTTTCGACCAGAAGACTTGCTCCAATTGATTGAACTCTATACATAAAACATAAACGTGTTTATGAGTGTGACCAATATGACCATGGTCATATCAGTGATATCAACTCATGATCAACGAGATTTTTCATTTTTGTGCCATCATGTCTCAGTTTATGATTACTAGTTCCATTTATTTTTGCACTGTCCAAGAACAATCTTCGCTTCTCTATCATTTTAAGTACTAAGCTAGAAACAACGAGAATTTAAAACTCGATTTGTTTATTTATATTATTTTTTCGTGTGGCTATTTGTTGATATTTAATCGAATGCTTACAACATAATAATTATTTTATTCTTAAGAATAGCTCAGGATAAATTTAGGGGATGTTTTGAATGGGAAGACTTATAGAGACATTTACGATCCATAAAAAACAACTACTAGACAAATATTTTATTTTACATTGTGAATGGATTGAAGAAGTTTATAGTTATACAAAGTTGTTTTTTTTTTTTTATCTGTGAACAACTTTTTAACAAGAAAACTTGTTCAGATTTGTGTAACACCTTTTCTTAAAGGAAATCGGCGTGGAGAAATATTCCAAGAAGGTCATTTTTTTGATTTGCTCAGTTTTCTGAATTTTCTCCTCAAAACTTGAAAAACTGAAAAAATAACTGAGGAAAAATGAGAAATTATAAGAAATGTAGGTAAGTGTTAGTTAAAATGTATTACGGCCTTCTTTTTTCCTATCAACAACTTTTCTACCATTAGTTTTACTCAAATGGGTAACGATAGAAAATTTTCTGAAAGGAAATTTGACTGTAAAAATACTTTAAAGTGGTAATTGTTCGATTTTCCTAGGAGTTTTTCCAGCAAATATGAAAAACCGGAAAAAACTTATTGGAAAACTGGAAAAAATAAATATTATTAAAAAATAGTATATAATGTCTATTTAATTATTTTACTATAAAATGATATATATTCTTGACAAAATAGCATTATTAACTCAACTCCACTTGAATCGTTTTTTCGTAATCAATAGTTTATCGTTGCTTACAGGTATGTATTAAATTATCTATAACAATGGCTACATTCGTCCTCATTATCCTAGGACATATTTTTTTATTTATTTTATTTTTTTTATTAATTATTTAAACCATATGACTCTCTAAATCAACGCTTATGGGGTTAACTTAAATTCTTACTTAATCTTTCATGATATTTTTTTTTTTTTTGCCACATCTGAATGAATTCTAGACACACTTATGATACGGGAGCTTTCTTGTAAAATTTTAAATCGGTATATCCAATATAGTTTGAATCTATACATAATAAATATATTTTATATTTTTTGGAATAATCGTAGTAGAGACCTGGAATTTCCTCTAGATTTGTAATATTTAGTTGTAATAGCATTTTTTCTAGACTTTTTCTAAATTTAATATATTTTTTTTTTCCATTTTCTGTGTGCCGAACATAATTTCTTATTCAGAAAATCGATACATTTTGTCATTGGAAATTTGTACTCACTGAACTTTTAACTTAGGTACTATTGAAAAATAATTACGTTTTAGGTAAATACACTTAAAATTAAACGTTAAAATTGATTTAAATTTTATAGCAAATTAATTTTTTATATTATTGTTATTGAAACTTAAGATATTCAAATTAAATCTCTGGAGCTCTAATGGATGGGGTGACAATATTTTATTACATTTTGTATTTTTATGTAGGACAGTTAAATTATTATCTCTTGACTGGAAAAACTTTGAAAACGCGAGCGCTGAAGAAAATTTAATTTTCACGAATAACGTTTTAAATTAAGTAAATAAATATATAAATAAAAAATGTATACATGATAATAAAATTAATTAATTAATGAATGCGTCGTTTGGAGTATTATGATAAGTGTATTATACGACCGGTTTCAAATTAAAAATTCATCATCAGGTATATCACAGTCAAAATGTAAGTCGCGACGCAATGATTCATTTATTTATTTTATTATTATATATAAATTTTGTATTTATATATTTATTTACTTTATTTATTTACGAGTATTAACCATTTGAATAATTTTGTTTTTACTTTATTATTTTATTAACATTTTAAAATATTAATAATTTATTGATAACACGAATTTACAGGGGCTTTTAGATATTTCCCTTACCACCCGTCGGTATCAGTTATATGTCTTTCGCTTTTAACTTGAAATGAGATTAACATTATAAACACGAAACGAAAGAATTTAATTTTTATATCAATCAGGATAATGGTGTTTTGATTACGTACACTGCAGTACCATAAAAGAACTATAAATAAAAAACAAACAATTATAAAAGTGTGTTTGTTTTAATTGTTTGTTTTATGCTTAACTTTGTGCAAGGCAACATTAACATGCTGTTTTCTGAACAATTTAATTTATAATTATTGTAATTTTTTTTTTTATTGCTGATAAAAAGAGTCAATTATTTTTAGTGTTGAAATTATTTGGATACAATAAACTGTAAAAGATAATAAAGATATAGGCATTCTATCTGTTATCTAGATAAAATTAAAACATCATAATATCTATGTGTTCTTAATTTATAGTAAATACGTACATATTAAATTTATATTATCATTTTTAATCGAACTGAAATTTGATAATATCAATAAATATGTCATAATAATATTATAGTTATTTTTATTATTCTTATTAACTTTTCTACCAGAAATTTTGTTCCGATTAAAAAATGTATAGGAACTTTCTTAAGAACTTATTTGATCTAATTGTTATACTAATGAAGCCATTTTTTGATATTCTTTATAGTTTCTTTAATATATGGAAAAAACTGAATATTTTTAATGTTATCTTTTTTAATTTCTTTCTAGTCAAATTAATTTTTATATTTAAAAATGGTATTACACATGCAGACCTACTATAGTACAATACTTATACAATTTTAAATAATTTTGAATCTGAATTATCTCTAATTGTATCTACTTATGTTATTATTACAATAAATATTCTACATATTATCTTTTTATGGTATGGTAAATTAAAATTATATTTTGTCTTTTTATTAGATTAATCTTTAGTCGTTATCTTAATATTTTATCTAAATAGGAATATTGGTTATCTTGCAGGTTATTTGTAATAGCTTGGAAACGGATATTTTTCCTACATATTACTAAACCATAGAAAATTCAAAATATAATGTCTTTATAAAAAATATATTTTTAATTTATTCCAGTCAAATAACGAGGATCGCATCATATCGAAAAGTCTTCTTTCCGATAACATAAACGCAGCTTCATATATTATATCGAGTAAATAGCTGTGTATGTACTTGGAATTTAAAAATGAATTTGTCAATATAATCATTTGAAAAAATAAAAAATATTAATACTAATATTAATTTTAACGAGAATGTAATGTAGGTAATGTAATGGGTTTTTTTTTTTTTTTTAACGATTTGGCGATTTTCTATTGGATGACATTATTTATCAATTTTGATATTCGAATTCAGTAATATTACATAATATATAATAATATGTAATCATATTATTATTATACGTGATTGCAAACATAAATCAATTTAAAGTTTACACAAATTATATATATCTAACCTAACCATACATACATTTTTATTTGTAGCATAATTTAAAAAAAATCGTTTGGCCAAAAAGAGAAAAAAATATTATTATATGTGTACTCTGTATACACTTATACACTTTATCGTTCATTAAAAATCTTATATGAAGGAATAATAGTTGGTCCACAAATATTGTTTTCATAATTTTTTCCTTTTTTTAGATTCTGAGTGGGGTGAGGAATGTATTGGTTTTACAATGATTTTTATTTTTTTCCTGTGAACAATTTTTCCATTAGCAATGTAGCTATAATTTTCAATCATAACACACTTTTTCTGTGAAGAAATCTGATTGGGAAGGTACTTTAAGGTGGTAATTTTTTGATATTTCCAGCGTTCATCCAATGAATGTGAATAACCGGGAAAAAAGAAAGGTATTGTTGACAAAGTAACATTATCAACTGAATTCCGCTCAGAATCAATTTTTCGTTAGCAATGGTTTATCGTTGCTTACAGATATACATTAAATTCCTGTCTGTATCATACCTTCCCAACGACCCATCTACAACAGTGGCTGCACCCACGTGCGAAGTATGTCCGTCCTTTTTTATATAATGAGCTTAAATCTAATTTATTTTGTTTTTGTTTTTCGCAAATACTTATAACGCATTACCCGATTACCGTGTTATTATGGTATTATACCGAATATAATATACTGAGCGAAATCTAATAAGACCATGCTAAAGGAACTGCCGAATCTTTTTTGGGTTTTTTTTTTTCAAACGGGAACGACTGTAGGTCATACGTGTACATAATACACTGCCTGTGCGTAGGTATTTTTATTCAGCTTATTGGTTTAACAGTACGAAAACAACAAAATATAACAATACGCATACGTTCTAGTAATGTTTTCTTTCTGTAAACGGACATCGAAATTATAATGTGGTAGATAGATAGGTAACCCGCATTTGGTAGTGGTTTTATTAAAACCCAGACGTCGTGCGTCGATACGGGAAAAGTCTGCACAAAATACGACCTGAGAATCATCGCAAAGTGCGAAAAACGTCTCTACATTTATGTCCCGTTGCCGACGAAGCTACTGTAGCTGTCAAATTAAAGGCAGACAAAAGCGACTACAATATTATATTCGATTCAATGACAACGACGACGACAATTATTAACGGACAATCGAGTTGAATTTGCCATCACGGCACGAATATTACATTTGAAAAAAAAAAAACTGATACCAGTATTAGCTATTTTTTTACTCTGGGGATGGGAGTGACCACTATTGTAGATGAAAAGTTGGAAAGGTAGGATACATAAGCTTATTTTATTTGTATCTGTAAGCAACGATAAATCATTGCTTGATGAAAGACGATTACGAACGCAGTTCGGTAATACATATTTTGAATTGTATTTATTATTTATTTTTTTTTGTGATTTTCGTTTAAATTTGATTTAAAAACACTTATAAAATAAAAAAGTTGTCCGATGGTTTTGGAGATTTTACCAAGTTTCAAGTCTCTATATGTATTTATAACCGAATTACAGCAAAAAACTCCCATAAATTAAAAGCTCAAAAGTGACACAAAAGTTTTCGCGACGATACCGTAAGGAAGTAAATCAAAAAGCCAACAAAAAAGGTAACTCATGATTTGTCGATTAAATCATTTTTTCTGGTATAAAATGTCGTTCGTGTTTTTATAAAATAATGAAATCGTGAAATTGTACATTTACTTACGTTTTTTCCAACTTAAGTGCTTTTATTTAAAAAATGGCATCGAACGTCAAAATGACTTCTTTAAAGTACCATCCAGACAACTTGAGCTTTTAGAAAAGTTGCTACACGTAAATATCGGAGGAAGTTTACTAGGAAAAAACGTGTCATAAAAAACATCATAATAAAACCAATAAGTTCACTCTCTACGCTAGGAATCTAAAAAAAATATTACGTCCACGTCGTCGTGCATTGTATGAAACGAATTTAAATTTTTTATATGCAGGGCGATTATTTATTATTATGGACTAGTGCTTTTATTGAAGTATTTTTATATGCGAATTTGATATATGTTTGTCTCCTTCCTCCATCATAATTGAATCGCTTTATTTTGACACTTTTTTTTCAAATTAACTACCTACTCTCTTTTAAACATAAATTCTTATTGCACTTTCCTAAATTTTTTTATATGTATAAGTAATACAAAAATCTTGACCAAAGAAGTCATATGGTATGACGTACCTCGATGACCCAATATAAGTATTAATGTTATTCATATCAAAAAATTAAAAAAAAAAGTATTATTAAAATCTGTGTTTAAAAAGGAAACTCAGAAAGGTTTTAAAATCCCAAGTATTAACAGATACTTTTTATAAAATATAAGGAGCAATTTAAAATAATGTTAAAAAATGTTTAGTGATTCTACAATGGTTGAACAAAGTAAAAATCAAAAACAAATTTACTTAGAACCTTACTAAAAATATTGGTAGATCATGTAAAAGAATCATCCTGTATATCTGTAGTACAAAACAGACTACATTAATTAACTCATCGTTTACACTGCGGTGTACAAGAATTAATAATCCCGGTTTACCGCTACTTCTGCAGCTCGCGCTATACACGAGTATTATGTAAACATTGATCGATATTGTAGGGCTAAATTTATTAATTGAACGCTGAGGAAAGTTATGGTATAATATTTTAATACTAACAGCGTTTGGATCAGATAGGTAAACAATTACCTAAGATAGACCTAAAGATAAAAGATTATTCATATAAATTTATCTACATGAAGATGAAAGATAAAAACTCGAAATGAATCTAAATAAAAAAAAAAATCATTTTTTTTTATATTACAAAATAGAGCTAACTAGAAAAATTGATGGATTTTTAAAATTAATTAAGAAAAATTAACTCAAAATTAAAAGATAATTATAAAAAAATTAGTAAAATATTTATCTGTGGTACATACGTAAAAAATTCTTCATAATTGTTTTTATCTTCTAATTTTATTCAACGATGTTGCTAATGCGTCGATTTTAGTCCATACAAAAATATTTGGCAAGAATAAAATAATTAAGAATAACATAATCTTTCTGTTAAGTATTTCAGCGGCTTTGCCCCAACAACGGTTATCTACACAAATTAAAATTCACACATTGCCATGTCGTGAATTTGCATGACCATAAGCGGTAGAATTAAATTCGCTAGTTTCTTCCAACCAACTTTTTTCCCATACAATATACATAATCGATAAAAAAAGATACCCACGGTTGGGTGATCCTAACTAATTAACAGGTTGATAGAGAAGTAACGCACAGTCTAAACCACTGGGGTTAGAGAATTAAAATATTCGCAGTAGGTAACTTTTATATCATAGGAATCTACTAAGGAAGGAATTTTGAAAATTCCACCCGTAATGGATATTGGTGTTTTAGGAATACAAATTTAATTTCATTAGTTCGTTTATTTGATTACATTGGTGATATTGATAATAATTTGTTTTTTACGGACAAAAGAACACTATCATTATTACTATTAAATTTTTTTTAGAATATTTTTATATAACTGACAATAACGGTTAACTGTGATAACTGACATTGTTAAAATAGGGAGTCACGGAGGGACTCGTTTTAAACAAATTAATGTTTTCGTTTTTTCATTCAAGCGGCGAATATTTCTGGGAAGCTCGAAATGCTCCATAACTGCGAAAAGAGTAAAGGGGATGGTTTGATTACTGAAATTAAATATTTAGGAAGCTTTTCAACGAGCATTCATTATAATTGAAATGGAATAGTTGGTTCCAGAGAAGGTTGAAAAGCTTCACAATGTTGTGTCTCCGATAGATACTAATTTGGAGTGTGAGTTTACACAAACATATGCCAAACCGTACAGACATGTAAAATGCACATGGATGAACTCATGGATAAAGTAACCGGTAATAAATATGGTTATATTTTTTATGTTAACCTGCTAATTAAGCAGGCGGTATTAAAAAACCTATCTAACCTAATGGAATCTACTAATATATATACTAATACATTTGGTCCAATAAAATGGGTCTCAGGCAACTCTAGCTGGTAATAGTAATATAATGTACAAAAAAAAATCTAAAAATATCCTATACTATTCAGTAATCATTATTTGAATGCATTTTGTGCCCATAGTATTCTCTGAATGTTCCTATATTATATAATACAGTGAATTCCGCTTAATGTGGTCACTGGTTTATAGAATCAATCGTTTATTGGAATCAAAAATGAAAATCCCAAAACCAAATCTTTTGTTATTAATGTTCAATTAACCTTTTATTAGAATCACTAAGTACCGGATAATTGAATCACTTTTACGAACATTCTTATCGTTTTTTATGATATTGTATGTTTTTATTATGTATTTATATTGTATTTTTTATTGTATGATCCAAAAGTTACAGGTACAATGTACATATATTATTATATATTTCATTTTAATTTCAGGCTAATATAAAAATGAAATTAGTAGATTCTCAAGTATAATCAAAAATAGACAGGTAGCTTCTTTATTTTATTTTAAGTTTACATATAAATACAGAATCATAAAAAAAAAAAAAAAAAATGTTTTATGGAATCAACCGGATATTAGAATTAAAATGACCTGAACCAATGTGATCACATTAAGCGTAACCCACGTACGTTGTATATTTTATTGAGAAAAATAAAATTCTGTTACTCTAATAGGATTTGAACCGTCGACCATTTGATCCCTAACGTTTCCTAACCTAAGGTGTTTTTTTCATATTTGAAATGACAGCAGTGAATTTATGTGAATATTAAATTATTACTACACCACTACTGATTAAATCTAATGCATAATCTAATCAGCTAACTTAAGACCAACCCTAATTTATTTTAGATTCTAAGTGTAGTGAAGAAGGTTATGGTTTTACGATGATGTTTATTTTTTTTTTGTCTTTGAACAACTTTTTCTATCAGATTTTTTGCTCTGGTTTTCATGTATAACTCTTTTTCTGAAAATAAATCTGAGGTGGTACTTTAGGATGGACTTTTTTAATTTTCTAAGGTTTTTCATAAAAAAACGGAAAAACTTAGAAAAAATGGGAAAATAAACAAAAACTATTATTTTTAAATCGTAAATATTACGGCTTTTCAAAACTTGTGTAACCAAACTGCGCTCAGAATCTTTTTTCGTTAGCAAAGATTAATGGCTACGTATAGATACATACGTAGATCATATTTAGATATACATTAAATTTCTCCTCTACCTTCCCAACTTCTCACATACGACAATGGCCCACTCATCGTGCTAAGTATGGCCGTCTTTTTTAAACCAATACTTCCTAGACCTTTCAAGGGAACCAGAATTACAAATTAAACGAATAAGTATAGTATATTATATATATATACACATTCTACTCATTCTGGAAGAGTGGAAAGCTTTCCTGGCCCTTTGTGTCTTTTAGTTCGATCTTCACCAATAACCCAACTCACAGATTTCGTTTGGGTGATGCCTCTCACACGAAATGTTTAAAAATTGAGAACAAAATACGAAGTACAAATGATATAATATCGCCTTTATACCTCTACCGAGTGACGACCGATAACGAGACTTTCACGATAAACTGTGTGACCGTTTCTCCACTAGCTTGCAGGGCGGCTCCGGTCGATTAACTATACATATACGTTTCAATGGTGGTATTTATTTTTTTTTTTTTACCGACCCCGATTTTTCGGCTTCCGCGTGTCGTAAATTATCGGCGAAACGCGATCTCGAAACAAAAAAAAATAAAAAAATAACCACCAAACCATATCGTTTGAGACCATTAATTTCCATTAAAACGCCAAATACTCTCGTAATAATAATAATAATAATAATATAATACCGTGTCGTACTACTATCTCTATATTATGTTATCGTATTGTACGCCGTTGTGTAATCACACACGAGTAAGTTAATCGGCGAACACGTCACAATAATATTATTACAATAATGGGCTCCCATGTCTATAGATCGCGTGACAATATTATTGATAGTGGTCTGACAGATATAATAATATAATATTAATAATGATAATATAGTTTGACACGATGTTAGTATTATTGATAGCTGCCCTACACCGTGATTTATAGTCCGACACCGTTCCTAATATATAAAATAAATCGCTGATAAGCGGAAGGGGAACATGAATAAATATTAAAATATTTAATAAATAAATCGAGTTTTTTTTATCGAATAATTTTTTACTTCAAAATTTTCACTCTGTCAGTGTTCGGAAAATATGCATAGGTAACAAATATTTCTATCCAATACTTCATCATCTATCTGAGCCTGTCACGCGGCCTTTTCTCTTGAATGCTGTTTTTATCGTGACACTTTCCAACGCATGTAATATGACCTGTCTACTAAATCTTCATGACTTTTGATAAAAATATTCACCCATTGCATGTCCATAGATTCAATCAGCTCCTCATTATACCTTCGTCGCCAATTTCCTGTGCCTGCATCGAGTACCGGTCACAAACGTTTCTACAGACTTTAATTTTAAAAAGCTTCATCAATTTGTTTTGGGAATTTGTGTGTTTCGCAGTTGCGAAATAGAAACAGTGTTTCCCTGTATTTAATTTGGCATTTGAAAGAACCGTTGTAGTCCAATTACGTAACATTAGGTCAACGATTACAATACGCGCAATTAGTGAGACATCATAGTATGTGATTCGAGCGTTTAAATAAAATAGCACGTGTTTTCAATGGATCTGTTAAATCGTTCAGATCCAAATTATCCGATAATTACTGATAACAGACTGACTGTTAAGAGAAGTATGACATAGGCCCTAACCACGCGTACCTATACGATATCGTTATACCGCATTGTAATAATAATATTACATTATTACTTATAACAACAGTGTTTCCGGCCATAATAATATTATTATAATATCCGTACCGCGGTTTTATGGGTGAGGAAAGGGGGGGTGGGGTGGTGGTGGAGAAAGGTTGACGGTCGCCTATTGTGCGACGGCGATCCAAACAATAACCGCGATGTTGTCTAATATAATAATAATCGATCGATCGAAATAATAATAATATTACGTTTCCGCGTCAGGAGCGCGGCAACAACGACAGTATTATAATATAGGTACCTAACCTAAAATAATTAATGTGGCGAACGTATTGTTATAATATTATTATTATTCGAACCGGGCGAGTCGTGTTATTTCATGACTGGATCGGGTAACTCCTCCGATGGCAATATAATAGTATGACTATACTTTGAACGATAATAACGCTTCGTAATCGTCCTACTTACAGCGGCGATCCTGGAAATCGGAAGTTATTCTCTTGTTATTTTTTGAACGAAAACAGAAATATATCTTAAAATGACCTAGCTGACTGGTACCTAACACATAAAAATTTACTCGGAAGAGAAACTACAAAAATACTTTTTGTCGACATTTCCCTGGAAATAGAGACTATGTATAATATTGCACATGATGTATAAATGTGTCTGTTATCTTTTTCCGCTACTTATGAATACTATTCAATAGTGGCTTCTTCTGAATCCAATAATCTCGAACTCGGGATTTTAAATCTTTTACAGGCAGATTGAAGCAATTGAAATAAGATTTTATCCAAAACTGGTAAATCATCGTATCATCATTTTTTTTTTTTGAGTTTTTATCTATTAGATTAAAACAAAAAGTATAATGAATTCCTATAAAATGACTTCTCAAATGCTTCAAGTAGATCAAAAATACTACTAGAAACAGTGGTTTAAGTGGGAAAAACTTCGAAGGAGAATTATATTTACCGAAAACTGAAGAACGTTTCCGAGAACTAACGAAACTTAATCAAACTTTTAGGAAACCTATCGTGGAGACAAAACTTCTAAAATGTTTTTCTCTCTTACATATATTTAATCTCAAAAATGTTATCCTAAAGAGTTTAAAAATAAAATTGCATCTCCCTTAAATATCGTTCTACTTATATGTCTTTTAAAGCTGCATCCACAACAAAAAAACAATTAAAAAACGTTTGTCGAACGTTTGTTTAATGTAGAAATGTTACGAAATCAATTTGTTTGTCAATAATCCAAACAAAAGTGTTCGCATACTAAGCGAACATTTTGCATGTATGTTTGTACTAGTATACCGATGTACCTTTAAATAATTATAAATGTAATTATAAGTTATTCAAATAGTTTTAAATGATAATACTTATTAAAAAATATGTTAGTATAAGTAATAAATTAAGTATAAAGTAATATATTTGAATATGATTTTATTATCATGAATATTATCGCCATTAATTTTTTTACTTTTGGTATTTTATTCTTCTTACGCATTATAACAAATGCGGCAGCATCAATGCAGCATACAACTTGTTCTAAATATGACATGGTCACAACTGTCTTGGAAAACACATAGCAAATAATTAAATTATGAACAAATGTCTGTGTAATGATAAAACGTTTGCGAATGTTTGAAAAACGTTCAATGAATGTTTGACAGACAATGTCTGTTAGGTGTAGATGCAGCTTAAGTAAAAATTAAGTGAAACGCTGTCTGAATACGGATAATCTAATCTTCTTTTTCCTAGGTTTCTGCCATTCAAGAACATACCTCTAAATATACATCCTACCATCTATCTCTATCTTCTGCTAATTCTCATCAATAACTATTTAGTTCCACTGTCTCAGTATCTTTTTTGATGAAATCTATCCATCTTAAACGTTCTCTTCCTAGAGGTCTCTTTCCAACTGAGTTTTCTTCTATTACTTTTCTAATCGGATAATCTAATAGTTATTAAATAATTTGTTTTTAATAAAGTTAATTCGAGATTTTAAAATGTCATTAAAAATATCTCAGTGATAATAACTAAAATGCATCCTCCTTTCCGAATTTTGCATACTTGAACTAAAAGGAAATAATAATTTTAAATTAAATAAGAAAGGCTACTCCGTTTCCTTCCGTTTCTCTCTGTCTCTCACACTTTAACCACCAATCAGAACCCCTCTTGATTTTATTTTATTTTTGGATCAATTATTCTGTCTGAAATTTTATCAACAGAAAGAAAGACAGACGTCATTGTAATTAATTAATTTCCTACAAAAAACAGTATTGATACTTCTTATAGCACCCAAATAGCGAACTAGGGTAAGTTTACGAAAAATGTAATCCAAAATATTTAAAACTTCTTTTGTACATACAACTACACTATCCCGTGATTTACTCGGAAAGTTATCAAAACGGCAAACCGTGTATTTTTTTTTTATCTAAACGACATTTAAACGGCGTTTCCTGCACCTAAATATGCCATTATCACGCTCGGTTTGTAATTTTAAACCCTATTTGTATCGGGAAACTATAGGTACCTAACTCATCCTGTTTAGGGAAACTCGGGGTCAATAAATGCATATTAACTTTTATGCGCACGGCGATATAATAACAAATGTTTACCGTCATCGTACCGCCGTTATTCTGCTAGGTAAGTACCTACCTGCAGACAACACTCAAAATCGAAGTGTTTGAAGAGGATAATGCGATTTTCGAGTATAGTTTTATAGCGTTTATCCGATGATGGTAAACGAAAAACCGATCGATTTTTATCTCGGGGCAAAGGAAGTGAAATATTTCTTCCCGTTTTACCGATGACTGATCCGACTACCACAAGAATAACATTCATGTAACTAACGTTAGCTTAATTATGCAAATTCTTTCCGAGGATTAGGAATGTCGTAGCTCTTTCAACGAGTGTGAATTTTCGGAAATCTTGAAGGATATTTTTTTACCGTAATTTATAAAAAATAAATAAATAAAACAGATTTTTAAATATCATAGTTATACCAATGAACTAAAAAGTAAATAATAATGGAAAATGCCTGTTAGTTTAAAAGGCTTGAAGTAACATTACAATATTTCTTTTTTTAAATAATATATTTACCATTCTTCTTCTTCTCCTTCGCCTTCATTCCAGTAATTTTGAGGTCGGCCGCTCTCGTCCTAAACTTCCACTTGACCCGATCTCCCTCCTCGCGTACACCAGCTGTTCTCGTATCCTAACTAAACCTGTATTAAATATAAGCGATATAACCATAACTGTATATTTTTATGAAAATTAACAAAAAAAAAAAAACGCGAACATTTTGAAAGTTTTTTTCTTTGTACTGTTACATAGTATTATACACGCCATTTGTTAAACTAATTTAAAATTAAGGTACAATATTTCAACGTTATTAAAATACTAGACCACCTTTTTCATTTGGCGGAAAAGGGAAAGGTACACTTTTGGCGGAAACGGATAACTCCCGGTGAATTCCTCCACCTTACAGAAACAATGCCGTATGCCTACTGAAATCGCCCACCTGGTTTGCTAAACCCGTAGCATCATATACATGGATATAACTCTGAGGTTATATTATAGGCTTATATTACTATTATATTATGTTATAGCCTGTATGAATGTGAATAGTATGTTTATGAATTATGAGCAATCCTTGTAGTACACATTTACGGCGAAAACAATAGATTTATTATAATTGTTTATCGTAGAACGTAGGGTTTTATTAGGTTTTATTGATAATATTATACGTATAGAAACTTCAGGGTTTTATTCCTATCATATATTCATTAATGATAAAATAAATGATGATATGCGTATTTAATAAAACATGCGAATAGTATTTTTAAAAATATTATGTATAAAATGGTTTTTAGTAAGGGGGACGCAACTCCCTCTGACCTAATGAGGTCAGATAATGATATGCTTAGATGAACATTTCACTTCTGGTCGCAAATTTTGAACTTACCTACCCAAACCCCTTATTGTACACCATTGTACCTTTACACGATAATATCATATCATTGATGTTTATTTTATTTTATTCCACGTGTACATAATATGAGTACTGGGCCCCACTGAGAGGCTCCGTGCGGGGGGACCCAGGGTTCTAAATCGAATTATAAAAATGACATTATCATTGGTATGCGACGATAATAACTGTGGTATGTGTGTTCGCAGGTACGTGATTACAACGCTGTGCGGCGAGACGTGCAACATATCGTCGTCGGTGGTGGCCGTGCTGTTCTGGATAGGTTACTTCAACTCGACGCTGAACCCGTTGATCTACGCGTACTTCAACCGGGATTTCCGGGAAGCGTTCAAAAACACTCTACAGTGCGCGTTCTGCAACCTGTGCCGGAGTCCCCCGTCCGACCTAGAGGCGCTCGACGCGCGACGGCCGTCGCTGCGGTACGACGACCGGACGCGGAGCGTGTACTCCGAAACGTACCTGAACCATTGTGACCGGCGCCGATCCAGCCAGTTCGGCAGCAGCTTATGATCCACCGCGCAGACGCCCAGACCCCGGCCCCGAAATTAGTGCTTCCCAACCAGAAAATAATAAAATCCGCTTACGCGTTGTCCTAAGTGTCAACCACCGCCACCACTGTCGTCACTGTCGCTGTCACCACCGCCGCTAGCCGAAGCCGTCACTCCGTCGATCTCCGCGAATAATATTATACACGACAACGACGAACGAAATGTGTACAACTGTTCATTGTATAACTCGACGGACGTACCGTCCCTCCCCCGCGCCGCCCCGTGTAAATACGCGAAAAATAGTAGGGGCTGAAAAAAAAAAAAACGGAAGGGACGAAGACAGCGCTCGTAAATCTGCGTGAAAATATTATCACGCGGGTTTTTTTTTTTTTTTTGTCCCAGAGATGGAAAACGATCGTATATTATTTTCGGCTATAAACCGAAAATGTCCGCGATAACTTTCGTGCGAGAAAAGCGCCGTTTCGACGGTGGGAGGGGGAGGGAGACGACTCATACCGCGCGTTCGTTTTGGTAATCTATCGCCATTTCGAAAATCTCGGCGAGTCGTTTATCCCGTTCGAGGCTACGACGCCGACGAGCCCATAGTCGGGTTTTGTTCGGCCGTCGCGGTTGTAAACGCTCGTGCGGAGGCGGTTACCGGACGCGGTAACCATTAATACTGACGATCGGACCCCGCGGAGTCGTTTCGCGGCGATTTGTTCGGCCACGACCGGCCGTATAACGCATTTAAACGGGGTTCAGTTCGCGCCGTTATCGTCGGCTGTAACTATATGATAATAGGGCCGTACCGGATACCGCGCCGTCCGATCATCGGCACGATAATATTATTATTGTTTCTAAACGCGTCATACTCGTAATAATTGTTCGGTATTTCCCGACGAATTATCATTATCTGTAAAAAATATTCATCCGATCGCGCCGGTAAACTATTATTGTTATCCATGTAGTCGGTCGAGAGTCGATTAAATTCCGTCGACGACGGAACCGATCGCATTCGGATTTTTCTCTCGTCAAAACGGTCGCTCGAACGGTTGCTAGAGCAAAATAATATTTTATCATCACAAACGCCGTACAAGAATTCTAATTTTCGAGACAAAAACGGAGAAAAAAAAAACCCCGTTCACTCGCCACCGAACGTGCTGAAATTGAATGGGTACCTGATCGGGAAATAATATTTCAATCGGCTGCTCGATAATCGTACACGATTCAAAAAATAATCGGTCGTGAAGGGCCCGCGGGGGTTTTTCTTTCGCTCCCTTATTACCATATTAACATATTGAGTACGTAGTGGAGGAAAAAATAAAAAAACAACAAACGTAAATAAAAAAAAAAATAATGTTGAATCGTTCAAACCGAAATACTTCTACATTTGACGAATTCGCCTGCTCGCCCTCCCGTTAAATATCATACAAAGGCGTCCTGTCTGAAATACCGGTAAAACTTTCTCGTGGGGTTTCATTTTTTTTTTTTTGCACGAATTATTTAAACATTAGCGTTTACCGCGTTTGACCACTGCGCGATAACCGCGAGTAAATTGTTTTTCGTTCGTGTATAATGTACGAGGAGTTTTGAATTCATAAGTAGTATCGGTGTGTTGGTATACGAATTCGTATTAATATCGGGTCAATGGGTGGTCCAGTATTTTGGTTTTTGGGAACGAGAATGCGTGCACACAGCAACTAAGAAAAAAAAAAAATTAATGAAAACGGGTCGAAGGGGTCTCGGCAGTAAATTGTAATTTATACTTAAGATTAATCGATATTATTTTGTCGATTTTTGTTCTGTTTTATTTTTAAATTGTACGATATTATATGTTATTATTATTTTGTAATAGTGTGCAGTGGAAAAAAAAAATATATAGTTAGATCATCAATTACTTTCGGGCGAATCGAAAATGTAACGTCGGATTTTCGCGAAAGAAAACCGCGAGAATAATAATCAATGGGACCGAAGATGATACTAATTGAGAAATTAACTAACGGGATTTTTCGACGATTAATATCGTAATTACTATTGTATTATACTTAACGAAAAAAGTCACATTTTTATAGTATTTTCACTCACAATCGTGTTACACCGTGTTACCTATCGAATCGACCGAACGTCATTGAATATTTGTTTAAACGAAAAAAAAAAAAACCATTTTATATGTGTAAATAATCTCGTTTGTTACCGATAATCGTAAAGTCATTGTTGTTTTTTTTTTTTTTTTTTAATTATTAAAAATATTATAACGTGTAAATACTAAAAACAAATATTATTCACCTTACCTAAACATAACAAAAAATATATTAAGATTGTGGCGGCGAAGTCGTGCATGCGTCACCGATGATAAAAGAAATGTGTATTAAACTTATACGGGTATTATATGCAACCTGTGAACTATGTCGTGTGATGAACTCATCTATAAATAAATAACCTACTCTTATAATTTATGTGAAGCCTAGCAGCCTGCACAATATCACCAAATCAAAAGGCCAAATTGTATTGATAATACCGTAAAATATTTGTTTATAACACGATTTATGTGATGATATGAAAAATATTTAAAATCACGGCCGTCTCAGAGACTACACAGAGTCTACGCAATTTAATAGTGTGGACAGCTGCTCGTTTCACGGAACGCGCTTTTGTACGGTTTATTAACTAGTCTTTTTTTCTTCCTAGATACCCATTTTTGCTTGTCAGATTCAGTCTGATTTTCGAGTCGCATAATACATATAAGACGTACACAAGGCACGATCCGCTATTTATAGCTAGTAAATCTTCGTCTAATACTTTTGGAGTGGCGATTAAGTGAACTATTATCAGTGTTACTAGTATCCGGCCGGAATTTACACCATAGACCATTATAGACAAAACGTAAAACGGCGACACCGATGATGTGTAGCCACTAAATGGCCCGCACTCTCTGATTATAAAGCCTTTCTAGCACTGGCTACAACTGTTTTTGAAACAAATCGCAAATTTTATCCATAAATCATTACCAGAATCGTAGCATAAACAAATATTTACGGGTTAATCGATACAACGCGCCCCCTAATACGATATAATATTATACTGTGGCTTCCGACTTATCACACCTCTTAGATAATCTCGTATTCGGTCGGTTTTGTATATTATCTGTGATACCGATATTTTTTAACGTGTCGCTATCGGGCGTCGCCGTTCTAAAAATATACATAATAATATTATTATCACTTGACCGATTTATCACATCGCGTACGATTTTTACTGTCAAAGGCGGCGATTAAGACGTCATTATTAATGAATACTATAATAACACGTAGGTATGTAATGCCAAATACCGGGAACCGAACGGATCTTTTACGATTGAGCTACGCAGTAAAAATTGTAGAAAAAATTACTCATATAGAAGAAGAAATAAAATGTAACGTCACCCGTGTAAAAGTTTAGTTTTCATAAAAACTCGGCAAATTCAAATATCGGTTTTTCTATAAACAATCACGCAAGCTGAACTTATTCGATTAAATATTATTGTGGAAATTCCTTTACACCCCATAATCTTTTGGACTTTTTTCCTTCCTTCTTTAGATTGAAATTGTTCAATCGACCGTATTTCGGCCATCTTAAAAAAACGTCTATATCTAATCTATCCTAAAACATATTTCCCTCGACGATGCCGTCGGTATCCCCGCGCTGTAATTGAAATTTTCAAAAACAAACACGCGAATAATATCATAAATCACGACTTCCACGTCCGTCACGACCGAATCGGCAACGTTGCATATTATTATTAATAGTAATATTAGTATTATAAGAAAGACGTTTTTTTTTTTTCGCCCAATCGGCTGATCGAAAAGGTCACCGTTATCAATTTGCGATACGATCGGTCGGTTTTTAACAAAACGTGCAGGGCGTAGCACAAGAATTTTATAAACACCGCCCAAATATTAAACATTATACCTATGCTCATAGTGTTCCCCTAAAACAAATGCGAAATTACCGAAACAAAAAAAAACGGGATCGTAATAATATTACCGGTTGAATTAAAATTAAATTATTTTTAACGAAGCGCAGCAAATGATTACAATGCAAATATTAGCATACAGTACATAAAATTTCTTACATACTGACTTGATTTCGATATCAATGTTATAGAATTTCTTTTAAAAAATATTTTGGCCTGAAGGACGGACGGGGTTGGTCAGTGAAATCATGTGGGTGGTCCGACCATCCTCAGAGACCGGTCTTTAGTTATACGCCGCTTTAAAAGTATTAAATAATGACGAAGAAAATTCGGATTTCCGAAATCAAAAATATTAAGTAGTATTAATTTTTGATTTGTTTATATCGGTTTTTTTCCTTTGAAATAATTATATTTTGCGAAAACATTATTATTTTTTTCTTCAAAATCAAACTTATAATTTTGTATATACGATTGAAAACCTGATTATATATTATACTGTTACTAAATAGAAAAAAAAAAGGATTTTTAGATTAAAAAAAAATAAACTAGAACACCAGCCCTTTCTTCCCCCCCCACCAATAAAATATTGTGAAATCCAAAATTCGGTTCTTTGTTATTGTCCAAAATCCAAAAATCATTCGTTACTTGTATACGATATTATTAAAATGTATTATTTTTTTGTTTTTGTTTTTTTTTTTCAAAATTCAATATGATGTTTTACGTTAATATAGTATAAATAGTAATTAGTGTTACGTAAAAGTCATAATAATATACCGTGGAATACTAAATAATTATTTTGTACATATTATACAAACATTTATATTATGCAAACTTGATAATATGTATAGATGATAACATTATTATTATATAAACACGATTTTTTGTACCTGAACGTCCTAACGAAAATAATATTGATATAGTAATATTATTATAGCCGTATGAAATAATATTTTTATTGTATACTGATTATTTATACTTGTGTTTAAATATTAAAATTAGGTATATACATATGTATATTTGTGTACAAAACTATAATTAAAATCTATAGACAAAAAAAAAAAAAAAAAAAATGATAATAATATTAAGTACATACAATGAATTCATAGGTGGAGATTGGGGAAGATAGAGGGGATCAGCTCCCTTCAAAACTACCCAAAGACCTCGCTCGTAAAATTTGTTTGTTATATACTAATAAAGCCAGTGGCATTAAAATATTTTATACTTTCTAGTCCACCCCAACCAAAAAAATTAAAAAATTAAATCTCCACCTATGATGATGATGATAATGTGTACAATCACCTAAACTATAATAATATTATAATACTATCAATTATTATTAATGATAATAATAATAGAAAAATACAAATAAAAATTATAGCCCATTTATGACAAACGAACTATAGAGTGCAATTCTAACTGCATATTTGTTAAATACTTACATGATTTTATTATTAATTTTTGCTTGGAATTTTTACCTAGGTACCTGCCTATAATAATATGATTGTACATAATATGATAACGATTAAAAAAACTATACGTATGGTTGTATCATTTTCTTTTCTTTTTTACCTTTTGTAGTTGGCTGTCCATGTGTCCACCTGATTTTCCGTTTTGTAAGTATACAATACAGTAAAGATTTTTATTGGACCACAAGATTACGAAAAAAACACATTTTTGGATGACTTGCTTGCCAGAAAGAAAACTGCTGCTTTTTGTTTCATCACAAAAAAAAAATCACTTGAATTGAATACGATGGGTTTGTATTTTAAATAAAAATGTTTTTAGTCTGCCTGGTGGATTTAAAAAAAAAAATTATCAACATTCTGTATGGTGGAGTTTTAATCTGAAAGTCAAATAAGTAGACTCGGACACACTCTCTCTCTCTCTTGTGTTCAATCCTTTGATTGGTTTGCAACTTCACTTCAATTAGTGATTCTGTCTTCCACTTTTCTTTCCAGAAGTAAATAAAAATCGCATCTTTGATCCTATGTTATGATGTGCTTTATGTGTTCTATTATTTACATTCACTAATTTTGTCTTCTTACTGGTATTGCACTATTTCAGTCTTTACTCTTTTAATTCAGCTCATTCTTTACATTCTTCTATAGCAGTGGTTCCCAACCTTTTTGTTATGAAGGCCCACACTTTTACTATTTTTTGGATATGCGATCCATATTAAAATACTCTGCCCTAGGATAATGAGGATACAACCATTATTGTAGGTGGGAAGTTGGGAAGGTAGGATACAAAAGGGAATTTAATTTATTTAATGTAAGCAACAATAAACTATTGCTAACGAAAAAACGATTCTGAGCAGAGTTCAGTTGATAGTGATGATATGTCAACAATATATATGTCATATTATGATAAAATAATTAAATAGGTATTATATATTTTCCTAAATAATATTTGTTTAATATTGTATCGATTTTCCCGTTTTTCTCGATTCATCACATTTTCTTAGAAGACTTTTGAAAAAATCGAAACAGGACCTCCATATAGTACCTTCCCAGTCGAATTTCCTTTCAGAAAAAGTACTATCATTGTAAATCGGAGTAAAATTTCTGGTAGAAAAGTTGTTCACAGGAATAAAAAAAGCCGTAATATGTTTTAACTAATACTTATAATTCGTACATTTTCAGTTTTTCCTCAATTTTTCCATAAAAAAACCCATAGTGACCCATAGGTGGGTAAACACTGTTTTATAGCACATAACCATTTAAAATATCTTTAATTTCTTTTATTGTATAATTGATATTGTTTACGTTTCACTTTCATATGGAACATTATGTTCTAAACCCCTTTACTCAATTCTTCCGTAAGTGAATAAATCTATACTAATATTGTTTAATATGAATGCAATTTGACTGTTAAAAGCTATTTTGGCTTGCATCATAGCTAAATAACCAGGCATGATGGAATTGCGACGTATTTAAGTTATAAACTAAGCATTTGTATTCAAATCATTAACAATGTTGAAATTTCACGGAGAAAATACACAGTTGGTGGTGATTTTTTCACAGAATTCCTGTGCTTGGCATAATGTGGTACTAAAATAATCATTTACAGGTACCAGTAGCGGTGATCACATCTAGTTATGGATTGAATAACGCGTTTTAATATATATTTCTTTTTTTTGTTATCATATTGTAATTGAACATTTATACCGTTTACGAGTAAGTATTTTCGTGTACGTAAGATGTACGCTTCGGAAAATGGTTTTACTAACCGGACGACAAAATAATCGCGGTACTCCCTGACACTTTTCAGCTAAGGTGAGTAGTTCTATATTTCACTACGCCTTGATATATAAGGAACACGATGACGAGTACCGAATCAAAACAAGAACGTAAGTGAATGTTTAGATGTATATCAACTGGTGAGTACTACAAAACAACAGGTATCGTAAAAAAGTGTTTATACTTAAACACATAAAAATAATTAAACGCAAGCGAGTCTTCTAAAATACAATACTTTATTTGAACACTGACAGCTCGTTCTCCGGGCATTCCAGAAAAGTGATTTTAACGATTATATTTTAATGCTCTTTTCCCAACAAAATTCCCCTGTTACGGGGCCCGCGACCGCGTAAAATAATTAACTAAGTGGACGTACTTGTAATATTATATTTTAACATAATAATATTAATGCTGGAAAACGGAGACGGTTGCGTAAAAGAACTGTATTGATATATTAAAATATTTTTAGAATATTTATTTATTTATTATTATTACTATCGGCGAATGGATATACTGCAGTATGCGAACTGATTAGAATATTAGATTATTCTGCGTCTTGATTATCATCAATAATATAACAAATCAATCGTATACTTTTACGCCCGTTATTCGACATTGTATGCATTTTACACGAGGAAAATATCTACCCCAAGTTCAGAATAAAAATCATATTCAGTTATTTCGTCGAATGTATTGTATAATATTGTTGAGTTTTAGATACCTACCGATTCGGACGTCGAGCATCGCAGCTTTAATATATTATGAAAATACGAAATTCGAATTCTTATATTGCCGGTGTATAAATAAGCGTGACAATAATGTAGGCCGTATGGAAAATTAGACTTTTTGCGAAAAGACTAGGCTTTTTGCAATGGGGTAGCCCGTTTACGAGCTACTTATTATTTTTCCAAAAGGCCTACTGTTTTTCAGGCTTGTTGCATATAGACTAATAGCAGTTGGGCCTTTTAAGATCTACAATAGTTATAGTACAGTAATAACTATTGCACTTATTTTATTTTAAGAATAATTTATTACTTTTACAAAAAAAAAAAAAATATCAATAGAATTATTATAACATATAAATACTAAATTGAATAGTGTGAACAAGTATGGTCCTTATAATAAACTATTATATTTATTTTATAAACTGTATCAATGGCGAGTATCAGTGAAGTTTAAATTATTTTAAAGCTGTTGACTATTGTATTACCAGTTTTATTTTACATTACTAACAAAAAAGGACAATATGTAAAATATTTACTTATTGTTACATGCGGTATTTTTCGCGTTACATTTTTTTTGTCTACATCTTTGCTAATTATATTTTGAGTGTGTAAATGGTCCACCGTCTACTTTTTAAAATATTGACTAAAACTTAACTTCCAACCGTATCATTGGCGTATTTATACAATCATATCAGTCGTATACATTTCAAATTCTAGGTATTAAGCTACATTACTACATTAGTTAATTACAACCGGCTATTTTAGAGATTTAGATACGGATTGACGACATGATATTTTAATACTTAATGGAATCTACGAGATTAAGACTAATCGGTAGATTAGATTATAACTTTTCACTGTACACGTTTTGGTCGGCATACTGTACATACTAGACGTTAGTACACCTCTGCATTATCGTTAAAACGGTCGAAATCGTTTGTATTTCGTTATCAAAAATATTTCTGCATAACACCGTGCAAAACAAATGGATACGGTTGACGGTTTACACATTATAATAATTCTGTTGATCTTTTTTTTTTTTTTTTCGTAAAAGTAATAAATTACCCTTAAAATAAATTAAGTAAAATAGTTATTACTATACTATAACTATTGTAGTCCATAAAAGACCTAATTTCTGTTAGTCCATATGCAATGAGCCTGAAAAACAGTAGGCCGTTTGGAAAAATAATTCATAGTTCGCAAACGGATTACCCCATTACAAAGAGCCTAAGAGTCTTTTCGCGAAAATACTAATTTTCTATATAGCCTACGACGTATTTATGTACATATAAAATATATACCTATATGGACAATGCATTCGACGAAAATAACTATTTCGCCAAACGGACGTGACCCCGTAATATTATTATAATATTATAAACGAGCAAGGAAAAAAAAAAATATATGAGTACCTTACCTACAACTCTACGAGCACGTAACGTCCCGGCTCTGTAGTGTACCTACGTGATTTATGTGTCTAAAATGAATAACTGACGCGTGCAACAGAGTTAAATCGAATTCGGTTCGTCATGGAAATGGTCATAATGAGGTCAACTGCGAGTCTGTAAAAAAAAAAAAAGAAGGAATACGCGTTTTAAATACTGAGGTCGGAAATATACATAGTATTATTTGGTTGCTGTCGGATGTGTACGGTACAAAACGAAAAGTCTGGAAAAACAAAAACAAAAATTAGTTATTAGGTGTTTCAAGTAAAATATAAAAGTTGCGAAGGTGTAGGATTGATTTAACTAATTTAATTTATACACGTACCCACCTATGCGACAATAAATCATTAATGACGAGATACGATTTTGAACAAAAATAGCTCAAAAGTGGCCATTATGTTTTGAAAACATTACCACGTATAAAAAGGCTGGTATCAGTATTCTGTGAAAATATCAGGTCTTTAAGGTTTTTTTTCAACCGAATCACAACGAAAAAAACAAATTCGGAAATAATGAAACTAAAACTGCAATTAAATACAAAACTCTACAGAAAAAAAAAATAACGTTAAGTATTTAGGTTAGGTTAGATATTATAGATAGGTGTATACCGGATATAAGTGGGTACACTCATTACCTCGGAAAGTATTAGTGTACCCATTTAAATGTATCATCTGGTACAGGGCATACGCCTACCATTTTTAACGTGCAATACGAAATTCAGCGCATTTTGTGTTATTTTGATACATTCCCACTGAAACAATAATAATAATTTATTGTTTGTAATGATCAGAAAATGGGTTTCAAACGCCTATAGTGATATAATGTATGTTATAATAATATTATTTTTAAGACCGGTAATTCAGATACGAGTGACATATTCGTTTATTATAAAATCCGAATAAAATCGCCGAGTTTGATTAAAATGTACGTAGCTACTTACGTTGTTGAACTGCATAGAATTTAAGGATATTTTCGAATACTACCCGATACACGGAAGAGTATGCATTTCGTCCTAAATACCTTAACCGCACCGCAACTACGACGTTTGTAGTAAAGAAATCCGCTAATAAAATATTTATTTTTCTGCGTTTCGTCTGTGCGATTTTAGGAAAAATTCTAAATGGTAGCC